CATGCATCAAAGCATTGGCCAACCTCACGGGGCGCTTGCTGCGTGCCAGCTGCTATATCATGGCTGTCGCAGCTTCAGGCGGGATTCTGCTTGCTTCTGCGGAAATCCCTCTGGGACTTGGCCTGACCAGATTAACAAACTAAATCTGTAGCTGACATCTCCAGGCACATCAAAGAGCTGGAGGGAGAAGCTTCCACATCCTTAGAGACCGCTTCCTCACCCAACCCCCAGGCTTCAGGTGCACCTGGGCCTCAGATGCGGCAGGAGGGGGCTCATCTCCTCCCTTTCAGGGAATAGGTAAAGGAGATACTTAGCCTTGGCAATGCTGGTGCATTTCCTCTGATGCCTTCTGTTTCCTGGGGTCACCCTGGCTTCCATCAGCCTCAGAAAAGAATAGGCACCACCTAGTACCCGTTCCTAAAGACTGTATTCACAAGCCGGCATGGCCCTCTGCCCTCCACACAGTTCTGTGCCTGTATCTCTGTTTTGTGTCGGTCTTAGCCCACTGAAGGTGATGCTAGGAACGCCTGGGGCCCCCACCTGGGTTGTGCCACTTGTGGGAGCCCCCACAGACAATTCTTCAACCGGAGCCAGTGTTGTGGCTGGGCCACCCTTTGTTCTGACTATGACAGCAAGACGGACCTCGGCGACAACCGACAATCATCAGGGAGCTTTGAAAAGACAAGTTGCTGGAGGGTACACAGCACGCCTGGGGCCACATAGCAAGGTCACAGGTAGAGAGAGAGTGAGCTTGGACTTTTATTATTAAGGCAGGGGATGCCCAGGGTTTCACAGGTTCACTCTTTATCGTTAAATTTAAAACACAAGGCGGGGAATTAAAGTGCAGAAGGGAAAAGCAAGCTGTCAAAAAGTCTACCAGAGCTCTCCTGAAAAAAGGGAACTTCATGGGTGGGGCGGCCTGGCTTTTCATCTCATCTTGTAGCTTATCCAAGAGGGATGTCTTTGAAGTGGATGCCTCGGTGATCAAGTTTAATGTCAGCCCCTTCACAGTACAACTGCAAGCTAATTGTCAGGTGCTGACACCACAATCTCCAACTGTTTGTTTAGAGACATTGACCATCTTGAAAACTGCGGCATCCTTCTGGGCAAAGTCCTAAATATTTTCATCAAACCTACACCCTCAGCCTTCCCAGATATCCCAGATGAGATGGTTCTCTTAGACTCAGCCAGCCTGAACTTTGCCGTGTCAGTGGAGTAGCGGTGACCTAGCACAGTGGTTAAGAAAATGGGTTCAAATTCTAGGTCTGTTGGTTTTAAGCCAGGTAAGCTTGGAAAACTTCCTTAACCTCACTGTCCCTTGCTTTAGTCACCTGTAAAACAGAGATGTTTCGGGCTCTTGGGAGGACTCGATGTTGTAATATATATTAACTACTGAGCGCCTGCACATAGGAGATATTCCGCGTGTCCCGGTGCCCATCTTCCTGCCCCTGCAGGCTCTTCTTTTTTGTTCCTTTCTGCACAGGCTGCTTATGTTAATTATCTTGCGGCTCCCTTCCTACACACCTAGAGTGGCTTTGAGCCGTCATAAGACATCAATTTATAAAATACATCGAAAGGCCCTCAGAACTCTCCACAATCTGTCCCCAGCCCACTCCCCAGCCTTATTTCCAACCATTCTCCCCAGGACCCTCCAGCCAGTCTAGGTGACCTCTCTATTCTCATCAGAGCTCCCCACTCATGCCGAGACTGTATGCTGACCTGTTTATCACTTCAAGCCTTACTCACCCTCGAAGTCCCAATTGCAAGACCTTCTTCCTCCAGGAAGTCTTCCATGACTAGGCAAAAATTTGGTGCCATCCACGTGCTGATGAGTCACCCTGCAGAATTCTCTGTCTGTGGTTTTGTTTTGCCTACATTTGTATGTGATCTTCCCCCCAGCATGAGAGCTCTTTTCAGGCAGGCACTGTGTTTCCGTAGTTTTATCTTTGGCATTCGGTAGCATGCGAGGAAAATCAAAATGGAGTTGGTATTGCTAAGACAGCTTTCCGAAATAGAGGTGGGTGGGAGGCTACTAAGAAAGTATGACTTAGGCACATCTCTGCCTGGATGGAATCTGACCTTTTGACCTGGTGAAGTCATCCAGAACACCTGCCAGAAACTCTAGATACTTTTCAGACCTTTACCCTAAAATAACTGGTGACAGTCTATGTATCCGACTGCCTGCCTTAAAACAACTCATGATTCCTTAGGGACAAATATTTTTTAACTTGCACCAGAGTCAATCACAATTCACGCCAGGCAACTTTTAACAACCTTGTGGCTTTTTGTCTTTAAAGCCCTTGCCTCTTTCTCTTCCCGGGAGTACTTTTTTGAGGTTACCTGAATCCATGTCTCCTGGATTACAATTCTTAAGCCCCCAAATTGACTCTTTTCTTATTTCCAGCCTCCTGCGTTATTTTTTGGGGTTGACTCTACGTACTCCATTTGGCTGGCTAGATAAATGGATAGTCGTGGGTCTTAGAAGACTCCTAAGTGTTGGGGACACTGGGCAGAGGGAACCCCTGAATGCAACTGCTCCCACCCAGGGGACATGGTGGAGGAAGAAGCCACCCCTGGGAGAAATGGACTGGGACTCCTTCTACAACCTGTAGCCTCCTCCACTTCCCCACAAGGCTTGCTAAGATGCTTATTTAGTAAATAGTTCAGGAGTTAAGGGTCTGGGGCCCGGATTCAAACCCACGGTTCCCATGCTGGCTCCAGCTTTTATCAATGGTGTCACCTTCAAAAGCTCATTTATGTCTGAGGAGCCTCAGTTTTACCACCTGGCTTTAAAATGGCGATAAAAAGAGTCCTGATCTCATCTAGTTGTGAATAGTGGAGGAGTTAAGTTAATGCACGTAAAGCAGTTACAATGCTGCTTCAGCGAGCACGCAGTGTTAGCTACTCTTGTTAGATCCTACGCTGAGCATTTAGTCTGTGGATCTGGACAGTGTCACGTGGGAAAAAAGCTCAGACTCGAGCCCCATCTCTACCACTTACAGCTCGGCACTTGGGAACCTATTCTCCCTTTCCGAGCCTCTGTTTGATTATCTTTGAAATAAAGAAAATCATGCCTATGCTTTTAAGTGTGGAGAACAAAGCCTGGCATATATGGGGCTCACAGGTGTGTTCACATCCTTTTCCATTTAAGCCTCCTTCTGTATGGCAGGTGGGCTGGGCAGAGGTAGTAGTAATTGGGGGAAAGAAACAGAGGGGACAGGCAGGGCACAAAACATCCTGAAAATTCAACTTGGTGTCTTTAGGGGTTGGCATGGGCCTGCTGCCATCTGCTGGATTGAGCAGGAATGGCATCTCTCAGTGCTCTCTGTTGTCACCTCGTGGTGAAAGAGGTTTGTGACAGAAGAGCAGACACAACTAGGAATGCATCTAGTAAGTCCTGGACACATGATAGACACATGATGCCTGCTTCTGCTCCTTTCATTAGCTTGTCAGTTTCTATTAAAAGGCCAGCCTTTTCACAAAACAGAGGCAAACTCATAGAGATAGAAAACGAACTTGTGGTTACCAGGGGTTGGGGAGGGGCCGGGAAAAGAGGGTGGGGAGGGATACATTGGGAGTTTGGGATTCGCAGATACTAACTACTATACATAAAATAGGTAAACAACAAAGTTCTGCTGGGAACTATATTCAATATCTTGTAAAAACCTCCAATGAAAAGGAATATATGTGTATAACCAACACATTATGCTGTACACCAGAAATTAGCACGACATTGCAAACGGACTATACTTCAATTTAAAAAAAATTATGAAGTGAAAAGGCCACCTGTCATTTTGATTGTAATGCACTGAATTTGTAGATACATTTGGACAAAATTGGTGTTTAGGCGTCTACTCCATAAGCATGGTGTAACTCTCCATTTATGAAGATTTCTTTCATTTCTCATTGCAGTTTCGTGTAGTTTTCAGTGTAGATGTCTTCCACATACTTTCAAAAATTTATCCCTAGGTATTTCATGCCTTTAGGTGCTATTATAAACGATATTCCTTTTATTTCATCTTCCATTTGTTTGTCACTAGAATACAGAATTACAAGTTTTATGTATTGATCTTGTATCCCTAATCCTTGCAAAATTCCCTTATTAAGTCTAGTTTTTTTTATAGACTCCTTAGGATTTTACATAGTAAAAATCATGTTGTGGGCAGGGTAATAGCTCAGTGGTGGAGTGCATGCTTAATGCACAAGGTTCTGGGCTTCAATCCCCAGTAACTCCATTTAAAAAAATTATGTTATCTGTTAATAAAGATAGCTTTGTTTCTTCCTTTCCAGTATGTATACTTTCAATGAATGTATCTTGCTTTATTGTCCTGGCTGGGATAGAAGAGCAAATATCCTTACTCTGATCCTAGTCTTTGATGGAAAGTATTTATTTATTACTATTCTGTATTTTGTTACTTGCAGCTTTTTAAATTATTATTACCCTGTATCAGATTGTGATGTTCCATTTTATTTTGTCTGTGAATACTTTTTTTAAAAAAATCATGAATTGATTTTGAATTTATCAAGTGATTTTCTCATATATTCTGTGGTGACCATCACATGAGCTTCCTTTTTTGTTTAACTTTTTAAAACTTGAAGTATAGCTGATTTACACTGTTGTGTTAGTTTCTGGTGTACAGCTGAATCACTGTACCGTACTCTTTTTAATGTGGGAGATTCGTTTATTTTTAAGTGTCAAAGCTGCCTTGCCTTGCTAGGGAAAGCCTCACTTGGTTGTGATGTGTTATCATTTTATATTGCTGGATTCTATTTGCCTTTTTTTTTTTGGAGAAGTTTTGTGTCTATGTTCATGGATAATATTGGTCTATAATTTTCCTTGCTTACTCTTAACAGGCTTTGCTATTAAGGTTTTTCTGGGCTCATGAAATGAACTAGGAATTGCTTCTCTTCATTTTCTGAGGTCACCTGAGGGATCCTGTTACAGATACTTTGGGCAATTAACTTAAACTCTCTTGGTTTTTGTTTTCTCATCTGTACAGTGGAGATGATGCTGTCTACCTAACCTGCTGTAGTGCAGAATAGATGAAATGCTATCTGAAGAATGCCTAGGAGTGCACCTAGTAGGTCCTCGACACATGATAGGCATTTTGTCAATAAGTGTGATTATTACAACATCACTAGAGGGACGAGAAACTTAGCACCTGCTGAATCTTAAAGTCTTCCGCTGTAAAATTCCAACTCTTCCCTCCCCACCTCCCCAAGAGCTTAATGTTGAACAATTGTGTCACATTTGCAGACCTTTAAAAATTGATTTTAGTTGTTACCCCACGTGATGCCACAGGAGCCTCTGAAAGTTGCCTTTATTGATCTCATTTCTCCCTTTAACTGATGAGGAAATGGAGGTTTGGACAATTTGCCTGAAGCCACATTGTAACAAAGAACAGATCTGACTCCGTATCGGATCTATTCCTTTAGCCCTGACCCTTGTGCTCTGTTGCCTGTTCTTAGTCTTGCTGGCTCTGCACCTTTTGTAAAAGAAAGTTGTCTATAGCCTGAAATATATAGGACAGCCCATTCTCAAGGCTCTGATCTTTGAAGATATAACACTTTTCTATTAAAAAGTTGCAGAACAGAGAAATAACGTTTGTCTTGTTGGAGGCTGTAGGAATATTGTGACCAGACCTACATGGACAGTGGCAAGAACAAAGGATTCCAGCACTAAGAAGTTTGCAACAACCAGACACACCCCTTTCCTTTTTAGTATAAAAGAAGCCTGAATTCTAACTCAGGTAGGATGCTTCTCTGGGACACCAGTCTACCATCTTCTCAGTCTACTGGTTTTCCTAATAAAGTTGCTGTTCTTCGCCCCAACACCTGTCTCTTGACTCATTGCCCTGTTGTGCAGTGAGCAGTGTGAGCTTGGACTCAGTAACAGCAAGGTAGGTTGGTTCCCATCACTCATTGTGAAGACAGAGTTCCCAGTAAGGGAGCCAGCGTCCTGGAGAGGCACTGTTCTCCCAGCTTCCTGGCCACTAGAGGGCCTTTCTCACACCATTTAGGGGATCCCTTCAGGGGAAGGCCCTTTTAGAAGTGTCCAACATCAAGAGTCGATGGTGCAGTCTGCTGCCTTCTCCATCCATTTGTGTGACCTTTAGCACGTTTCTAACTTCACTGAGTCACGGACTCCCCATTTGGGAAAAAATGAGAGCCACAACACCAGCCATTATTTATTGAGCCCGCAGCGCATGCCAGGGGGTGTGCTGCATAGCTGCACACGTGATTTATTTAGTCCACTTAAAAACACTGTGAGGCAAGCGTATGGCCATAGGTGAGAAAAGGAGGTCAAAGAAATTAAATAATGTACCCAAGGTCAATAAGGATCCAGAATTGAAACCTAGGAATAACTGACTCTCCTTTTCGTGTTAAAATTGGTCAAATCATACACTTTAAAAATGTGAAGCTTGTTATAAGTCAGTTACGCCTCAGTAAGACTTTTTTAAAAAGCCTCATCCAGAATTAGATGCTGAGACTGAAGGCAGGATCAACACCAACAGGAAGTAATTACATTCACAGGAACACACATATGCCCCAAACCCACCCAGCTATTCACTCAGGGTTTGAGAATTTTATTGTGTATAAAATATGCCAGAATAAAGTACAGCTGCATTTTTTTTAACGAAAGTAATTAGACCTAAAGTCATAATTCTCAAATATCACCTGGATCTCTTACTGGCAGAAAAATAACACTAGACTGTATGGAAAATAAATCATTCTCTCAACTCCTACTCACCCTTTAAAAATTGCATTTTTTTTCTTACTGTAAAAACAATACATGTTTATGGTAGGAAAATTAGAAAAAACAGATGAGCCAAAAATGTAAAAATGAAAGCCAGCCTTGGTTCTATGTTCAGATATAACAAGATTTCATACTCTGGCATTTTTTTTCTACTACTTTTCAGTGCCTAGAAGTTTATTTAGATGTATATATAATTATGTAATATGTAGGGAGTTTTAGAGACTGGGGTCTTACTGTAAAATTTTTTTTATAATTTACTTTCAACACTTAGGTGTATACCATGAAAGGCGTACCGTACCAGTGAATGGCCATCTACGGTGAGAGTTTTAAATTAAATTCCATGATGCCTTAATGCCTTAGGGTTCTTTGGAAGTGTCTCAGGTGCTGGGGGCCAGGGTAGGGGAGAAGATGAGGGTCTGGGTCTGGTGGAGGGCTGGAAGGATCAAGCAGGTGAGGTCTGGTTTGCCGCGCTTCCTAAACAGAGCTGCCTTTTTTTTTTTTTTAAATACGATCTTCCCACAGTACTGCGGATTGGTTCTGGGACTCCCACACCCCTCACCTCCGCGATTAACAAAATCCAGAGATGATGAAGTTTCTTACAGTCAGTCCTCCGTATTCTCGGATGTGGAATCCGTGATTACAGAGGAGCAACTACACAGATTTGCCATTAAGATTTCATTTGAAAAGGAATTCCCATGCTGAAAACAATTTAAAAAAATCAAAAGAAACCACGATTGTAACATCATTCTTATTTCTGCTTAATTTCTTTTCAAAGTGAAAATAGCTTTATTGTTTTATACTTCTAAAAGTCACACCTACCCATTTTTCAAGATTCAAACAATTCAAAAACATAGAGACAGAAAATTGAAACTCATCCATTAATCTCACCATTCTTTGTAAATATTTTGGAGTGTATGTGTGTATTGAAATATATGGTACATCTATTATATCCTGTCTTTTTTCCTTAACGCAGCCTATTTTTTGGTGTCCTCTATTGACCTTTAAAAAAATGATTTTTTGACTGTTGACTATTATGTTATTAGGTTTATTGATAGAAAAAAGACAAGTTAAACATAAAGGCTTAAGGAGAATCGGGTGTCTACTTTTAAAACGTGTAATTTTATCACATTGAATATCCGTGCAACATTCTGCATGTAAACAACTCCCCCAGGCTTTAAAAGTCCCGTGTTGGCAGATCATCACGACTGTAAGAATCTCCCAGCTCTTCCACTGAACATGCCCCTAACGGCAAAGCAGGGTTTGGTCAAGAGCCCTCCTGGGTCTGGGAGAGTGGGCAGATCCTGCGGCCTTTACCAGACCCAAAGGGCTTTGACATCTTTTGTTTTTCTTTTAAACCTAATTGGCCGCCCATTTTTCTATTCCATTTAACTAGTCTCTTTCTGTTACACTCTGAGTTCGTTTCAACTCTCTTTTTTATCATCATAAGCATGCAGCAAATGCCACAATGTCTTAATTATTAAAACTTCCAAATGGGGCTCTACCACCTGGTAACGTAAGCCCTCTAGCTTTGTTCTGCTCTAAGATTGTGCTAGATCCTTTCTGCCTTCATACACATTTTAGTATCAGATTATCAATTACTGCACAAAAACCTGCTGGGATTTTGTTTGAGATTGCTTTTGTCTGTTTTTGATCTTCCAGATGAACTTCATTCTGTCAAGATTAAAAAAAAAATCCCTTTGGAGTTCTGATTTGGATTTCATTAATCCTATAATTTAATTTGCAGTGCATTGGATTCTTTTTTGATTATTTCCTGGCTGTGAATACTGATTTCCCCACCAGACTATCAGCAGTTCTTGGAGAAGGTGTCTGTCTGTCACGTAAGTCTTTTGTCTTCTGCATAATTGTATGGCAACCTTTAGCCAAGTAACATTTAATGTGTGTTTCTTGAACAGACCTCATAAGCTGTTGCAAAATGACCTTCTCAAGTGCTTTTCTCAAATATTCTGCGGCGGGGGTGGTGCGCTCCTTAGCCTCTGATTTCATTTATTTGAATAAATCATTCAAGTACTTATGAATTCACCTGGCAAAGCCACTGGCATAGTCTAGTCTTAAGTGGTATTGACACACTCAACATGTTGTGCCATCTGCTCAGTATTTAGGCATCTTCCTTTTCCCTGGGAAGCTTTTAGTCCAACAAAGGCAGTAAACGCAAAACCAGCCGTCTAAATTGTTGTCTTTTTAGTGCCAGAGTCTTGGAGCTATAGAAGTGATAAACTCTAGCTGAGAAACCGCAGCGAAGTTGATGTATCCCAGTGAAGCTGACAGTTGAACTGGGTCTTGAAGCATGAATAGGAGTTCTCTATGCAGTAGAGTCCAGGAGTTGGGGAGATGCTAGGGAGCATTCTGGGTGAGAGAAAAAAAGACACGAGAGGATAGGAATTCATGCCATGTCTAAGAAGCATGAGTGGTCCAGCATGGCTGAGGCATAAGGGGATGGACTGGGAGATGAGTGAAGCTGGACATGTAGGGTAGGGACAGGCATGAGTGGCTTTTTAATATACGCCAGCATTTTTTTAAAAACCTTATTATTTATGCTGGTTAGTATAAGGGTGCCATGATCAGATTTGTGTTTGAAAAATATTGCTCTGCTGGCCCTGAGGAAGTGGCTTATATGTACCGAACTATTTAGATTACTACACTAATCCAGAGAGGAGGTAATAAAACCTTGGGAAAAGGTGCTAGAAATGGGATGCTGATGGCAGGTTATTCCAGAGGTGAAATCAAAGTGACTTGGTGATTGATTGGGTGCACGTAGGTGGAAGGAGGCCATCCTGGCCATCTGGGTGCAGGCTATGGGATATCACCATGCTGAGCTCCAAATTGTCCACTTGAGTCATTGGGTTGAATAGAGCAGCTCTTCTGAAAATATGCCAGGGTAGAACGGCTGATTGGCAGCTGAGTGAAAAGGCATAGAAAACTGCCCTTAGGACTTTCATTCTCTCCCTCAGAATAACCACATTTTGCCACGTGATTTCATTTTGCAGGATTTGTAGGTTCTTTTGTCTCCAGTTCATCGGTATATTTACTGCTGCTCTCCCAGGAAGAGAGAAGACAGGCTATTTCAAAAAGAAAAACTTAAACCAAAGACATTCCCTCCTGCTGCTGCTCTGAAGTTAGATTCGTTGGTCAGATCAGGTGGCATGGAATCTTAAATAATTTAGCCCAGACTGCTCACCTGGTAGGTGAGGAAGCCAAGTGCAAAAGAGGAAAGGCGATGTGTTAGCCAGCAAGCGGGATTGCTGGATCTCCCTGGAAGTGGTGGGAGGCAGTATATCAGCATGGTTAAAAGTAAGGACTCAGATGGTCTGGGCTCTGCCACCGACCAGCTGTGCGGTCTGGGGAATGTTACTTAGCTTTTGCTAAGCCTCAGTTCACTCGACGACAAAATGGAGTTGTTGTGATAATTAAATTTTTTAAAACGTGCATATTCACAGTGTGATGACACGTTTAAATACTCAGTGCCTGTCAGTGATGATGAAGATAAAGATGATGGTGCTGATGGCAATGATGCTGGTGCTGATGATGATGGCGGGGACAGTGGTGATGTAATTGAATGAGCACGGGCTTTGACATCAGCGCGCCTGAGTGCGAAAGTCTGTTATAGTTGTTTGACCTTGTTAAAACTACCTAACCTCTGTTTATAGCTGTCAATTTAAATATGTGTAAAATAGAGAAAGTCGTCTCGGTCTTGCACTGTTTTGAGAATGAAATAAAACAATACATGTATTCAAATTACTGAGCACATCCTGGCACAAAGAAGGTGCTCAAGTAATGTTTGTTCTCTATCCCTGAACCTAAACTTCTTTCTTCATTTCCTCCTCCTCCTCGCCTTTCCCTCTCCTCTTCCTCTTCATTCTTCTCTAATAGCAATCCTTTTTTTTTTTAATTTAATGCTGTGTTGTCATTTATCCATTAGCTGCCAATCTGGAAATACGTGTTGCCCTCATTGCTTCTAAGGACCCCGCTTCATCCTCTTGTTTCCACAGGTGGACTCTACAGTGTCTGGCTGTCTCTCCTGTCCCTTGTGGATGGCCCTGACCCCAGACACTGACCCTCCACTCGGAGCTTCCCTGGGTATTCATTTCAGGGCAGGGGCACTTACTCTGGGGGAATCCTTATCGTACCAGAGATTTGAGGCAGTATGTGTGGCCTCCCCTGAGACAGGCTGGGACCCGGGACCTGGGACCTTTTGCTGCAGTGCTTGCACCTGAACAACTGTCTCCTCCAGCAACAGAATACGGAGAAACTCAACTGCAGGCATGCGTGGTTGGGGCAAATTATGAGCAATGAGTTACAGAAAGACCAAAACCCAACTGCCCCTTCTGAGGTGTCAGGAGCAAAAGCAGGGGACTGTGCATGGTCCCTGCACACAGCCTCACCAAGGGGGTGGGCAGACGACCTAAGCCATCCCTCCCACCTGATCCACCTGTCCACCCTTAGCCTCACCCCATTTAAGGGACCAGCTCGCCTCCACTCAGGGATCCAGCAAGGGGATCTGTTGCTTTTTCCCCTCCCTCCTGCCCCAGCACCAGTCCTGAATTAGGGCCTCCTAGCAATTTCTATTGATTAAAGAGTCCAAGAGCTCTGGTCAGTGGCCTCCAGGTTCCCTCATCTCCATCTAGACAGTGTTCAGTGGATAGAGTTAATACATTGTTGTCTGGAAGCTTTTGGCAGTTTTCTTGCTTCAGCCATGAAAACTATAGGTTATCTTTTTTCATCGTTTTTGGTGGGACTCCAGGATGCGAGTGGAACCAGAATCTTCTGATCTTCTTCTCTTGACCCAGGTTTTTTTCTTTCATGTAATAAGGAAGAAACAAATGAACTCCATATTCAGACATCTTTTGTAAAAGCACCAAGTCTTCTGGCTCTAATGCAGAGAGACCAGCTTGATGGCTCCCAGAAGCTGAACGTGACTGAAAATCAGGTCAGGGACTGTCACATGAGGGGCACCAAAGGTCAGCGACCAATGACAGAATGTCCCCATGGCTGACAGAAGTGCATCATGAAACCAGCAAGTACCAGCTCGGGGACTCCATTTTTTTTGGAACTGCAGAATCCCATCTGTTTCCTTTTATGCCTTGATATCCCCAAAGTCACTCCTTCCAAATGGCAGAGAACACATATGTATTGTTTTAATTAAAGTGAATAGGTTTGAGGATTTCAAAAGAGAACGTTTAAGATATCTGAGGGGGTTACAAAATCAGAGGGGAAAAGCTTCTTACACCAGAGAGAATTAGGGTCACAGAACAAATTTAGGCATAAAAACAGCACTGGGGTCAGGGGAGAGAGGAAGGAGAATGGGTCGAGGAGGGGTGAAAACTTGCCCATAAATTTTTTACATGAAGAAAAAAAAAAGGAAGGAAGAAAAGAATAATAGAAAGACAGAGGAAACATTGAAGCTCACTTTTTATTTTGTTTTCAAATGGATTCCATTAGATGCAATATGTCATTCTGAGTGCACCTGAATATAGCTGTGGATTTAGATAACTCTTTTTTCCTCCCCTTCTGACCTTTATTATGACTGCAAAAATGCTGTGTGTGAGGGATAAATAATGCATGACCTCAGCCAGGAGAGGAAGGAAGACCTGAGGAAACATTGCGGAATAGAGGAAGCAAAATTTCTTTCTCTACTATATTTTTCACTCCCGACCGACTCCCACCTCCATCCCCACTCCCTGCTCTCTCCCACCCACCAATCCAGGACCCCAAAACCTGGATGCAGCGTGCTGAAGAGCATGGATATGGGGGTCGAACTTGCATTTAAAATCCTTGTAGCTAGGCTGTCTCATTTGTGTGATGTATCATACCCATCACAGGATGCTCTGAATCCAAAGCTTTGGAAAGATAACAAATGAAGATGTATACAAATGAATCTTTTCCACTGCACCCTGGAGAACAAACAGAAGACAGAACGCCTATTCTGGTCAGTTGTGAGCCTCAGACGTCAGTGGAAGAGCTGCTCAGGGAGGAGGGTACCTCCTTAGTGAGCCCAGAATGACCCTGAAGGGGTCCTCGAGTGCCCAGAACCCTGGTCTTGGCTTTGGATCCTCCAGGCTGGCTTCTGTGGCGTCAAAGCACACAAAAGTTCTCTGCAATACCCTTGGAGTGAGAATCTGGGGTTTCTTGCCGCGTTTAGAAGCCAGATCCCTCCGTTTCTTGCAGTCATAAAAGAAACAGAGGAAGGGATGGAACTGAACTTGCAGCTTGTGCTAAACTCAAAGTTGGCTCTTACCCAAGAATAACTTGTATGTCCATTTGTCTGTGATTCCCCATTTCCCGCCTAGATTTTCCTGTACTCTCTTGGAAAACTAGTTTTCAGAGTCTTGGTTCCTCGAATGTTGTCAAGTTTAAGTAGAAAGGAGATGAGTCTGCCTGGTAAATAAGACCATCCCTCCACAAGTGGGGTTATTTTGATCTACCTGGGTGGTGGTGGCCACGTACCTACCCTTTAGATCTGTGGAAAGATGCGTGGCTTAAGCACCCCGTGGGCTCTCTTTCCATGTCCTGTCCTCTGATGCCCCAATGAGAGCTTGCAACAGACAGCAAATGGTTTTGTATGATCACTGGGGAATTCCCTTTCTTTTCCCCTTTCCAGTTTTACCACCTATTTCAAGATGAACTTGAGGTGAAAGTGTGGTCACCAGGGTGCCAGTTGGAGGATACTGACAACCTCAGGGCTGTGGCTATTGCCCGGAGAAATCTCTGACTCTGGATTCAAAGGGTCATTGCTCGGGGGTTGCCCAAGGAAGCTGTTACAACAGCTCCTTCCAGTCTCACTTCCTATTAGATACATTCTTGTCATTTCCATGGCAACCGGGAAGTTTCTTGGGTTGCGCTGATCCACTGCTTGGGGACATATGGGAGGACAATTGGATGGGGTAGGTAGATACAGAGGCTGAGCTGCTTAAACCTTCCCATTTTATCCTTACTTCGGGCCCTCACAGGGCTCTCCCCGAGACCAGGCGCAGGAACGTCAGGATCATTATTCGTTCTGTAACCTCGGGGCCCCACCTGCCAATCCTGAGTGACAAACATACATAAAGTGACTAGAGGTCTGTGCTAGAAATGTTGTGTGACTCCGCTTCCTACTGCGACCTTGCCCGTCCTTACGGCTCCTCTCCTCCCTGCCGATCTTCCCTCTTTCTCCTTCTCTGCCTTTAGCTTCTTCCCCAGGCTTAGTGCCAGAGGCAGGGAGAAGGCATCGCTGACGACGTGGAGGGCATGGGATCTGCAGCAGGGAGGTCAAATGCAAGGTCTGCTTTCCAGCCACGTGACCTTGAACTTCAGTTTCTTCGTCAGTGCAAATGGAAATGATGCTTTTTTCCTCTCTCTTAGGGCTGTGGTGAGAATTAAATGGGTTAAAAATCTGTGTGGTACTTAGAACAGTGCCTGTCAAGTAGATGGGTCTACGAAGGGTGACCTTAGATCCGGATGCATCTGGGACAGCCTCGTTTGAAACCTGCTGTCCCAGCATTGTTGTGACTGTGTTCTCTTACCACTTTGAAAGTATCCAGGGTTCGGATGCTAAATGTGGTCACCCTGTACGCAGTCTTAGGTATTTTACTACTGGGCAGTGATCTGTTAATTCTGTGGAGGTGCAGGATTGGACGTCGCAGGCTAGGAAGTGAGGCAAATAAGAGCATCTACAATTAACCAGTTTCAAGTTAAACTGCTCTTATCTTTGGAGACAAAGAAAACCCTGTAACGCTGAAGTTCTGCTCTTCCCCACCCCCTCCCACGTCTGGGGTGGAAGGTGCCAAGAACCAACAGGGAGGGCAGCCCCACCAGGGTCCCGCCAGCTGTGCACATTCAGAAAGCAAGCATTGAGAGCCCAGCCCTGGGAGCTGCATTTTTGCTCTGCCTCCAGCTACGTAACTGAGGTCAGGGTGCCAGGATCTCTCAGGGCAGCCAGCATGGCCATGAGTTCCCAAATAAAAGGAAAATATCTTGAGATGATCAACCTTCTGTTGGGGGCACACGAGGTGGTGACAGTGACGGTGGGTTGGTGAAGAGTTACCAGAGACCGAGAAGAGTTTAGGGAAGTTTAATAGAGACACTGCTATAGGCAACAGCTGGCCACACAGGCGAGAGGTGCCTGCGTGACTGCGTGAGCGCCATGGGGAGGGTGGGGAGGGTGGGTGTGCAGGGTCTTTTATTGCGGGGAGGGGGCTATGCACACAAGGAGTAGGGGGCTGAGGGATCAATCCCTGCACAAGTACTTGATTGGTTGTTAAGATCTGTCAGGGACGTCTCTGAATAATAGGTTTTAGGACTGATAAGGGCAGGATGTGTCTCCTGTCTGCCTAGGGTGTTAGGGTATTATGAGCCGGGCTGTCTCCTGGGGTGATGGGTTTTGTTAGGATAAACACACATCAAGAGAAGGTGTTTTATATCTTGCAGAAATGCAGGTATGCTAAGGGTCCTGCAGTGGGGAGTGGGGGTTAAGCTATCAGTCAGCTCCAGGCACACAGAGAGCCCAGGGATGGGCGTTTTATGACTCCAGAGAGTGCCAGCCGGATCCACACCTTCCTCCCTGGTAGAAGGGAAGGACAGGGGTCAATCTTGGCAAAACATTTTCACAGGGACCACGCAGCCTTTATGTTGGCAGAGTGCAGCCCGAGAGCTCTGCTGGCGGCCTGGCCCTTGGGCTCCTCTTCCACACTAAGTCCCTGAGGTCCTTGTATATGTGCCTCAGATCATTGTCTGTCCATCTGTCTGTCTGTCTATCTACCTATCTATCTATCCATCCATCTATTTATCTATCTTCATCCATCTATCTACGTGTCTATCCAGTCATCCACCTGTCAATCCATCCATCCATCCAAACATCCATCTACCTACATATCTGTCTTCATCTATCTATCCAACTACCTGTCCATCCAGCCATCCATCTGTCTGTTTATCTATGTACCTATCAACAGGCATACCTTGTTTTATTGATCTTTGCTTTATTGTGCTTTGTATTTTTTACAAATTGAAGGCTTGTGGCAACCCTGTGTCGAACAAGTCTATTGGCTTCGTTTTTTTTCCAATAGCATTTGTTCACTATGTGCCTCTGTGTCACATTTTGGTAATTCTCACAATATTTCAAACCCTCCACCAGCGAAGAGATTATGATTCACTGAAGGCTCAGATGATGGCTAGCATTTTTTAGCAATTAAATACTTTTAATTAACGTACGCATATTGAGTTTTGGACATCATGCTATGCACGCTTAATAGATTACAGTATTGTGTAAACATGACTTTTATATGCACTGAGAAACCAAAACATTTGTGTGACTCAACTTTAATGAGATATTAGCTTTATTGTAGTGGTCTGGAATGGAAACCGAAATATCTCAGAGGTATGCCTGTATCTCTGTCTGTCTGTTTATCTGTCTGTCAGTCCATCCACGCATGCGTCCATCCAACCACCTATCTCCCTATCTTAACCATCACCATTTTCTAACAGGTTGGACCCTGGGGTCAAATTCCAGGTCCTCCACTCACTAGCTGTGTCAATTTTGGGCAAGTTCCTTTTTTGTGCCTCATCTGTAAAATGAGGATGACACTACATCTGCTCTGTAGGTTTGCTGTGAGGATTAAAAGCCATTCATATCACGCGCGTCGCGTGTGCTCGGCACACAGGGAACGCTAGAATAACCACTGCACATTTTTTGCACTTTTTTCCCGTGTTACTTTTCTTGTGTGTGGTGGGAGGGTTCTGACCTCTCCATCCCATCCCTTGGCTGTCTTCATATGATTTTAAATTAAAAGACATCTCCTTGCATGTTGTTTGGAAGAACATCCTGACTTGCTTAGGTCCAGTCAACATTGCATTCACCATTTTGTTAAGTAGATGTGATGTAGATGGCACGACCAGGAAAACAGAATTCAGAGTGGGTGGGATGGCCCCTATTCCTGTGTAGCTCTTGGGAAAAGTGGTCCTTGCACAGATTTTGGAATTCAACCACAGTTTGAATTCTGGATCTTCCCATTTTAACCATGTGACTTTGGGTAAAATATCTAACCTCTTTGGGCCTCAGTTTACTGATATATAAAACAGAGAAAATTGCATGGTAGGTGTGAGGGTGAATGGGGGCAAAAGTGCCTGCCACGATCTCTGGTATTCAGCAGGTATTCCATAAGTGCTGATTTCTGGTCCCCTCCTGTAATTAGACTGTTAGCTCCTGGGAGGGAGGGAGGGAGGGAGGCTGTGTTTGTCCACTGTCGTATCCCTCTGGCTCTCAGTACAGTGCCTGTCCAGGAGCAGTCAGTGAATGGTCGGTAAGCAAATTGAGAACAAATAGATTTTTCGTGCATGACATACCTTCTTCGACACAAATATATTAACTTCCTGCTTACTGCGTCAGGACTAATCACCGCTAGGGATGAAGGCTTTGGGGACTTAATGATTTTTGAAAACTATACTCAAGGTTAAATTATGAGTCGAGCCAGGACTCGAAAATGCTGGAAGCAATTTCCTCCAGTTTCAACAGTGGCTCAGCCTCATTCGCTTTGTTTATTCAAAGCCTGCTAACCCCACCCCCTCCCACGCTCCCAGATCTGGAGTGTGGAGTGTGCGCCTTGTGGCCACACCTCGCTGCAGCTCCCCGGAAAGGGAGCAAAGGCAGAGGGTGCAGTTTAAGGCTGAAGCACCTCGGGCTTTGCGCTTCAGAGGGAATGAAGTAGAGGATGGGGGTGTTGGTCCTTGGCACCAATCTCTTCACTTCCTGAGATCTACATTCACTCACCAACAGTGTGTGAAGGATGGAAAGGGGAGACTGATTTAGAAACTGGCCCTTCTTCCAGGTCTAGCTACAGCCTGTCTAGCTCAGAAGCCTCGTCTCTACTGAGACTCTGTGAAGGGCTGCCTCTTGGTGGGGTGGCGGGAGTGGGGATGACAGTGGAGGTGGCTAAAATAGTCTTGGGCAGCTCAAGGTGGCAGTTCCCAGCATCCGCCTCAGTGGCCATCTTCACCTTCTGTTTCTCGGGCACCTAATGTCTGTCTCCCTTAAGGCATTCCTGATGGGGTAGGATTTGGTTAGTGGAAGAGAACGGTTCTGTTATGCCTGGAGTCATCTGGGAGTTCTTTGGTGTCTTCCCTGCATTGTAAATTGCTCAAGGGCAGTGCTTTGTTTCATTCTGCTTTGAATTTTCAAAAACTAAGATGGGACACCTGGTCAAATTTAAATGCAATTGTGTAGGGAAAAGAACAAAACAAAAACGTGTAGCCTTTCTCCATGGAGGAGAGCCCAGTAGCCAGCATGGAGCAGACCTTCTCTGATGGGAGGCACCCACGTTCCTTTGGGAAGGCGGTAACAGGACTTGGAGTGTGTGTCGTTGAGGGGCGAGGGGGAGAAGGACTGTTGGGGGACTTTTGGGGACTTGGCAGAAGCTGTCTCTCTACTTGTTCGGCAGGGGCCTGGGAAGGTGTGGACCGATCTACAAAGGGATTCTGCCGGCCCAACAGGGTGGAATGGGGCGGAGGTGGTCCCCCTGATCCCAGAGGCATGTGATGAGGGAAATCAGTAGGGTGGAGAGTGGTGGCCCTCATCAAGCTCATGGGCTAGAAGGCGGGCTCAGGTGGACTGGTCAGGGAGACCTGGTGGAAACTTCCGAAACTTCACGTGTGAGTGAGCTTCTTAGCTCCTGACTCCTCTGACGCAGTGTACCGACCTAGGGTCAGCACAGCTGAGCATGTGCGCTTGGGAACTAGTAGAACTTGGCTCCAGCGTGGGTCCCCATTGCAGCCCGTGCACGGTTCTAGGCCAGCATGGGTGGCGTCATCTCAGCCACCCATGGCTGAATGGGCCGGTGTCTCTGAGCCTCCATGAGACTTCCTCAGCAGTGACCTCCTGTGGTGATGTCGAGCAATTGCACTTGTAGTCTGAGGACCGCACCTTGAACTAAACTCTGGAGTTCTTGAAGAAGTGGTACGAGTGGGGAATGACGGCAGAGAAAATAAAATAACACCAAGAGGGAGGAAGATTCTAGACTTCATGCTGATGAGGGGTGATGGCTTGAGCGCTTCACTTCACAACAACCAAGACATGTGGCTGAATGGTACCCCCAGACTGGCAAAAGAGGTCATACCAGTTCCAAAACAGGGCCCGACACTGAGTATGTAGTTGAAGTTTCAGTACATATTTGTTGAATGAGGAAGACGGATGGATAGGGGAATGGAATTAACGCTCGCTCAAATCCACACACTGAGAGAAACTCCGGGTACTTCTCCAATTCGTTCCTCACAGTCCGGTAAAGAGTGTCACCCTCATTGCACAGGTGGGTCCACATTGGGTAGCAAACAGTGGAAACAGCCTCTGAACCCAGAGCTGACCCCCAAAGCTGGTCCTCAGCCAGGTGGGATGCTGTAGGGATGTCCGCTGCAGCCTCAGGCACGGAGGGGGTGACCAGGAGTATCTGGATGTGAGGGGAGTTAATGGAGACTTGGGGTGGGTGGAAGAGGTGTGCTTGAAACAAAGTTGCTAAAAGCCTTGACAAGTGAGGCCGTCTGGTTTTCTCCTGAGAGTTACGATCGGGTGTGAGGATTATGGTGCTGAAAACCCCAGCAAAACTGTCACCGGCAGAACCTGTCGGGGGGGATGGGAAGGGAGGAGGGAGTAAAAGAGAGGGGGTAAAACAAAAAGGGTATGGACTGAGAGTTAGAAAAAATAGGCAGGGGGTGGGAAAAGTAGGGAGGGAGGAAGAAGAAGAACCTTGGGTTAAAAACAGATACGTTTAGATGATTCAACTGAAACAAAACATGAAGTGCCTGTGGGTGATTTTGCAACGAGTCCTACTAAAATCACACGAGGTTAATTATTTTGACCTCGTTTCCTGCTATCACACTTGACGGAGGGCATCCCAGGCTGGAAAGGACACCATTGCCCTCAATAGTGTGTCTACAGCAAGTAATGACCTCTCTGGAGTGTAGCTCAAGTTCCTGGAGGACAACTGTACTCTAGAAGTAAATTGGCTTTGCAGTAATGGCTTCGACATCGTTGCTGGTGGTTTCTGGTCCATTTGGGCAAGAAACACAAGGAGTGAAATTGTTAAGCCTTTTCCCACTTTTTCTCTCTTTCTTTCTCTTCCTTCCTTCCTTCCTTCTTTCCTTCCTTCCTTCTTTTCTTTCTTTCCTTCTCTTCTTCTTTCTTTCTTCTCTCTCTGTCTCTCTCTTCTTTCTTTCTTTCTTTCTTTCTTTCTTTCTTTCTTTCTTTCTTTCTTCTTCCTTCTCTTTCTTTCTTTCCTTTTCTCTCTCTCTGTCTCTCTCTCTTTCCTTCTTTCCTTCCTTCCTTTTATTTCTTTCATCTTGCAACATCAGTGAATACGTGGCGGTTGGAAACTCATTTGTTGCAGAAGCACTAGTTAGACTGAGCCTGAGGAGGGTGGGGACCAGGATAGTATGTACATTGTACCCAAGAGCCTGGCACGTGGCTGTAAATCAGTGGATATTTGAATAAAATGGTGAATATGTGCTGAAGCTCTGTTTCTTTTTCCCTAAATAGTTTTGAGCCTCTTCGATGTATTAAGCTCTCCACTGGCCGTTGAGGATACAAGGCACAATAGGACATGTTCTCTGTCTTCAAAGAGCTTCTAGTTAGTGGAGGATCTGATGAGTTGAAATGTGTTGAAAACAATTCTGCTGTGGGACGGACAGGGGTAGAGTGGTATAATGAGGGAATCAGACACCATGGGCCTAACATTGTTACTTTTTAAAGAAATTCTTCCACCTTGGGTTGGATATCTCTGTTTATGAGGAAGACTATAGGCCCGGGGACACCTGCAGAAAATCAAGAAACACAATAGTTTGTTTTAAGTCAATTCAACAAATAGCAATTGAGTCTCTATCACGGGCTGGATTTGGTGTCAGGAGACTGGCCTGAATAAGGTAGCCCTGACCCTTATTTTCCAGGAGCTCACACTCTAGCTGGGGAGGCAGATGGTACACGAAGGAAGTAAGTAAGATAAGAGCTATTGGGTAACCTGTGGTGAAGAAGAATATGAGAACCAATGTATGTATGTTCCTATGTGACTGAAGTACTGTGCTGTACACCAGAAACTGACACAATATTGTAAACTGACTGTGCTTCAATAAAAATATATTTTAAAAAGAGAACTATCGGGAGAACAGTATGGAGGTTTCTTTAAAATACTAAAAACAGTTACCATATGATCCAGCAATCCCACTCCTGGGTGTATATCTGGAGAAAACTCCAATTTGAAAAGTTACATGCACCCCAGTGTTCATAGCAGCACTATATACAATAGCCAAGACATGGAAACAACCTAAATGTCCATTGACAGATGACTGGATAAAGAAGTTGTGGTATATTTATACAATGGAATACTACTTAGCCATAAAAAATAATGAAATAATGCCATTTGTAGCAACATGAATGGACCTAGAGATTATCAAATTAACTGAAGAAAACCAGACAGAGAAAGACAACTATCACATGATATCACTTATAATTGGAACCAAAAAAATTGATACAAATGAACCTATTAACAAAACAGAAAAAGACTCACAGACGTAGAAAACAAATTTGTGGTTACCAAAGGGGAAAGGTGGGGTGGAGGGATAAATTAGGAGTTTGGGATTAGCAGATACAAACTACTAAATATAAAATAGATAAATGAGGTCCTACTGTATAGCACAGGGAACTATATTCAATAGCTTGTCGTAACCTATAAGGAAAAAGAATCTGAAAAAGAACATATATATGTGTATGTATAACTGAATCACTATGCTGTACACCTGAAACTAAAACAATGTTGCAAATCAACCTACATATCAGTAAAAATTAAAAAAAAAAAGAACGCTCGGAAGGGTGCCCTGTGATAGGTGCAGGGCATTGAAAGGACTTTGAACTTTACTCAGAGATGGGGAAGTTGATACACGTCCCTGTTCCTCTCATTTCCTATTCAGACAAAGAAATCCCTCCAATCTTCTCTGTTTCTCCAACCACATTTAATATCCCTTAGGAGAAACTCTTTTTCTTCAAGTTTAAAAAAAAATTGGGGGGGGGTAATTAGGTTTTTAAATTTATTTTTTAGAGGAGGTACCGGGGATTGAATCTAGGACCTCATGCATGCTAAGCATGCACTCTGCCACTGAGCTGTACTCTCCCCCAACTAGAAGAAATTCTGACATACGTACACCCACTCACTCTTTCCTAATGCTCAGAATTCCTTCCACACCATGAGCAAATGAGTTAACTTCTGTGCTCCGCAGGTGCCTCCCCTGTCAGAGAAACATCATCTTACCTGCAGGGCTGCTGGATGTCAAGGTCAAAACAGCAGAAGGAGGAAGGAGGTGAAAACAGCGGAAGCCCAGGGCGTGATCGGTCACTGTTTCTTCTGAAGGTAAAATAAGATCCTTGAGGAAGCTCTTTAGGGGCTTAAGTGGACACAGATTGAAAGTGCAGATCCTTGTGCTACCGTTTTCCCACGAAGGAGGGGAGCTCAGAGTCAAAGCACTTTTAAGGTAGGGAGACCTTCCAGCAATGCAGAAGAGGGTATAAATGACCCTGTCTGAGTGTCCCCCCATCTCAGGGGAAGGCCCCGAACTTGGTTGTGAGGGTCCTCTCCTTGCCCACGGGACCTACCTGCATGCTGGCTTGTGGATACTGACGTCACCTTGCTTGTCTGCACTCAGATTTAAACTCTAATTCCTGACTGCACGCTTCGCATTTGGCACAGGGAGAGGGTGGGTGACATGGGGACCAAAGAAAGATCACAAGTCCACAGGGTGTGGTTCCATGTCCCCTGGGTACGATGGTAATAGTAATGGTGTTAATAATGGTAGCCATAGTTACTGAACTTTTCTTAGATAGTGCTTCACACACTTTAACACATCAGATCCTCCCCTCTGCCCTAGGAGGTGGTACTATCCCCATTTTACAGATGAGCAAACTGAGGTTTAGACAAGTTAAAGAGCGTGCTTTACGAAACAGAGCTAGAGTGGGTGGATCTGGGACTTACCTCACCACTGTCTGACACCAGCACTAGAACCTCACAGCCTCACGAGGCACATGGGCGACAGCAGGATTCAGTGACCCTGGACTCTCACAGGAAGCTCATTCCCGCACCAACAGTGGGACCGCGGCAATTTACTTAATCCCTTCAGGCCTCAGTCTCCTTGTCTGTAAAATGGGCAGAATAACCTCACAGGATGAATGAGACATTGGCTCCTGATACACGTTGATTTCCTTCCCTCCCTGGAAATCCAATCTGTACAGAGAACTTAGTAGGACATTTCAGTGTCCAAGGGTGTGCAGCCCACAGGACCCTCCTGACGCACACACGTATGTGGTTTCTTTAGAACTGGGATTGCCCTTTGAACCGCTTAAGCACTGGCATCGTTTTAATCAACAACTTCAACTCTATTGGATTATAACCCCTCCTCACAGGACCGTGGGTATCGCTACTTCAAGTGAAGACGGCGAATTTCGGTTTCAGGTGGCAGCCTCAGAATGTTTTCCCAGTGAAGTCAACTAGATGTACCCAGCGTTCTCTGTGCACCCTTCCCATCTTTCGCACAGTCAGGCTTGTAATTTCATGGGTTCTCCTTGGATCTATTCTTACAGCAAAGGTCTATCCCTTATCTTGGGTGGATAAATACATCCATCACCCTGCATTCGCATTTCTTTTTCATTAAGTCTTTCCCCTGCCTCCCGTCATTTAATGAGTGCTGACTCCACGCTGAGTAATGGAGGGCACAGAATTACAAGACGTGGGTCCACGTCTGGGCTCTGGTGGCTTGTCTGCTCTGTGACTGGGCGCAGTCCCCTCCTTGTCAATCCAGGTCTCCGTGTGCTCATTTATAAATGGGAGTGAGATCTGCAGTGAAGGGTTGTTGTGTGGCTTGTGGAAAGAAAGGCAGTGAAGCACAGTACAGACAGGAGGGACTGCCATGCAGAACGGTCCCTCCCTGGTGGGCTTCCTGAGCACCACTGAGTCCTCCGCACCAGGCACGCGGTGACAGGCAAACAGTGGACAGTACACAGTGTGGACGCTGGAAGCAGATCGCCGGCTCCCAGCTCTTCTGAGCCGTGTGCCCTTGCACAGGTGACTTAACCTTGCTGAGCCTCAGTTTAGTAGGGGAAGAGCTTATAAAGTGGCGGTGATCACAGTTAGGAGTCACTCAGTGGTTCTCAACTGGGAGTGATTCTTTTCCCCCAGGAATCTGGAGACACTTTCGGTTGTCACAACAGATGCAGGGATGCTGCTGGCATCTGGTGGGCAGAGGTCAGGCATGAGGCTGAACATCCTACGATGCACAGGACAGCTCCCCACCACACAGAACTGTCCAGCCCCAAATGCGAAAGGTGCTGAAGCTGAGAAACTCCTGGTAATGAATACAGTTCAGGTACATTCTTGACATAGTTGCTGGCACCTGACGTGTCTCTCTGGAGGCGTCAAGCTGGCTGTGTCTGGAGAGGGCGCTGGAATGTCTCAGCGTCAGCCTCAGCGCTGGGATTGGAGCCTTGATGCCAGTGCTGCTGTCAGCCCACCTCGGCCCCCAGCACACTGCCAGCCCCATCACAGACCTGTCGCCCTGTTCTGCGTCGAGGCTGTACGCATCAGGCCCGCTCACCCAGCCGCAAGCTCTGTGGTTGAAAGGCACCAGCCTGATTCCGCTTTGAAGCTGCCCTGATGCTTAGGATTCTGACTTGACTCACAGAACATGCTTCGTTACGGTCATGGAATCTATGAGTGCCTTAGAGGTTCGTGGCAGTTTGGTTGGCAGGTCTTGTAGAGATACAGAGAGGTAGGAGCCGTGCGTTCAGGAAGGAGGGTGGGGCTTCTGAAGGAGGCACTGCTGGGTGAGTAGGGTAAGAAGTTCATCCTCTAAGGACAGCTGGCCCTGTCTGGAGACGGTCCTCACTCCTCCCCCGTCAGAGAAAAATACACTTACTGCTGGTACCAGTGGTACTGACTAGTCTCCGTGTCTGTAAAATGCGCAGAGTAACCTCACAGGATGAAATGAGATGTTGGCTCCCAATACATATTAATTCCCTCTCCCCATGGAAGTCCAATCTGTACAGAGAACTTAGCAGGATGTGTCAATGCCAGGCCCCCCGATATCCCCCAGTCCTGAGCTCTGTCTGCAGTATGCATAGACCCCCGGCCTGCCCACTCCCTGGGGGACAATGGTTAGTTCACAGACCGGCCCCCGTACACGGAGGGCAAGGAGAGGCCAGGGAAGGAAGCAGCCACTCCAGATTAGTTGGTGGCAAGTTGAACAAGCTAGAGGAAGGAGGGGGTGTAGCTCAGTGGTAGAGCATGCGCTTAGCATGCACGAGGTTCTGGGTTCAATCCCCAGTACCTCTAATTTAAAAAAAAAAAAACAAGCAAGGAAACTTAACATTCACATGAGGCTCGTCCTGGGCACTGCAAGATGAGTAGTTCTCTGCTCTCGCCCACCCGAATCTTTAGCGTGTATGTAGAGGCCTTAACTGGGCTCAGTCACGTACACCCTCCAGATGGTCTCAACAACACCACATTACTCTCTCAAGTCTGTGTCCTTGAAACCAACTCCCACTGTGGGGATAGTGGGCAGAGTGTCTGTTCTAAGGACAAGGGAGAGGTGAGGATCCTCTCATTGCCCGGGGCCAGCTCGAGGGTCAACCCGCAGTCGCGTCCTGTCAGTTACCTCCTCCCGCAACAATGAAATGATGTCTCTTACTTATTGGTGTCCTCCCACGTTGCTTTATCAAAGTGCCCGGACCAAATTAGCAGGCAATGAATCCTTGCTAATTGAATGCATAATCAGACACGGAAAACCGAGATGCATGTACACATGTCTGCATTTATATTTGTATATACAGAGATTAAGGGAGAAGATAAATACCTCTTTCTCCCGTGGTCCACAATAAGCCCTTGATAACTCAGTTTCCCTGGTGGCTCTTCCATGGCCTTTCCTTTTTTTGGTTGGGGAGGAGGTAGTTAGGTTTATTTATTCTTAGCGGAAAGTACTGGGGATTGAACCCAGGACCTCGTGCGTGCTAAGCATGCACTCTACTGCTTGAGCTATACCCTCCTCCCTCATGGCCTTTTGAATGACACACAAGGACACATAAGGTCTGAAAGACCCTCCCTGGTGTACCTCTCTGGCCAAGTCCTGTATCTTCCTCCAGACTCCATCTCCCACCCATCCTTCCTGGCCGCTGTCTCCAGCCCTCATTGATTTCATCTTCCCTGGGGCCAACAATTCTTGTCGTGGCCAGCTGACATGGCACTGCCACACTGCTTCACAGTGTCACAGCACTGTGATGTGTCCGTGGAGGGGACTTGATCAGAATAGCAGCAGGATGGAAAGGACATGAAATCTGGAGTCAGGAAACTGGGGTTGGAGCCCCAAATCCTCCTACTGCCGTCTCAGGGTCCTTCAACTATTTGAGCCTCAGTTTTCTTTCTCATATTGTGGAAACAATGACCCCTCTCCTGCTAACAGAAATCAGAGAGGAAGATGCCTGTGTCAGAGGTTCGCATCAAGGACGACACAGACAGAAGACATAATTAGTGCCTTGCCTGTGAGATGAAAAGCTCCGTGGGAGCAGGGCTGTGCTTTCTCCGTCTTGTTTATTCCCTTGCAGTGCCGACCGTGGGCTTGGACATGCTAAAACACGTGTAATAAATTTGTAGTGGGATGCATACAGATGCAGAGAAAAAGATGAACGTGATTATAAGCAGAAATGCGTGGTTCCCTTTTTCCTCGAATGCTGTTCACCCCTTCTTACTCCTAGTTCGTTGCTTTGATTTCATGTTGTTTCATGAGAGAGCTAGGGAGTAAATAAATGGAATTAAAATGAATATAGGAGATAGAAAAATTCACCAAATGCCGACAGATACCCAAGTGAAATGCACCCCTTGCAGACACAGTGAAGCCCTTTTGCAAAGAGCAGATGGGTGAACAGAGAGGGGAGCAGGGTGGAGGGGGATGGGCACTGATACAAGAAGGTAGGTGGGCGGGTGGGAGGGCTGGTGAGTCAAGACAGTTGTAAGATAAGAAAGTGATCAGGGTGTGAAAGAACACCACCGCGCCAACGACTTGTTCCCGATGATCAGAAGCAGTTGCAGCCACAAGGGGGAGAGGCAGCTCCACTCAGCAGCCAGGCAGGGCCGGCCTCTTTGGCCCTGTGTTTCTTCAGCTCGCCCATAGCTCGCCAGCTTACCTGAGGCTGAAGCTGTGCTAATAAAGTTTTTGTTGAAAGCCTGTCTGTGGCTTGTTGATTTCAGGGCCTCTCTGTTTCTTCCTCCTCATGTGGGAAGCAGTTGGCCCCCTGGGGATGGAGAGACAAAGCAAAAACAGACAACGATGGCTTCTTTCTCCAACTTCTTCCCCAGGGGAAAGAGGGGCAGAGGCGGCCTCAGAGAGGAGGACGCATAAAGACGAAACCGTGAAATAAAGGAGGCCTAGATGAGAAAAAACAGAAAGAAGACGGGGGACAGGAGAAGGGTGGGGTGGTCTGGACTTTCACAATCTGAATAGAAGTGACATGAAATCAAAGCAGAAATCAGGGCCTCAGTGTCCTGGGTGCCTTCTTCTCTGCCCATGGGGTAGATGTGAACCAGGCCTGCTTGGTTTATGTGAGAGGAATTTTGTGTCTTTAAACAGAAGGACTGAAGTAAAGGGCCTTCGGGGTAGAAACGAGCATGATCAGGTGCAGTCCAGGCCTCGCCTCTGCCTACCTGGAGAGGCAGGCCTTCGGTGCCGAAGGGACTACGTGTGGGGGTGTCTCGTTGAAAACAAAATAAATAAATAAGAGAAAGCAGCCACTGATTCTGTATGAAGGGACGAGGACTTGTATTACAAACTAATCCAAAATCTGTTTGAGGGTAAGAAAGAGGCCCTTTTGGGACTGTCTTCCTAACTTCCCACTGGCAAACATTAAACACCTATTGTTTCATTATTTCTTTATGATACCATGATCTTATCTGATTCAGAAAGTGGATAGAAGCGTGCATGGGAAGTGTCAAGGTCACCAGTCCATGCAAAAGTCAGGGGGAGTGAAGATGGAGTAACATCTCCCTCAGGTAGGTAACCAGTGCGCAGCTCATACCTGACCCCAACTTTCGCTGGCACCTGGGTTTTTGTAGACTAGGAAGTTAAGGAGGAGAACTTAGTCAACAGCCCTCGAAGTCAGGATTCTCCAGTCGAAGATCCTTAGCTGAGATTCTCAGGCTGCACAGACTCCTGCTGGGAGGGGGAACGGAGCAGGAATCTGCAGAATCTGGAGAATCTGCATGTTTAACAAGTGTTGGACGATTCCAGTTCACCTGGCCCCGTCATCACACGGCTCCAGGAGATGGTGACATGGGGTTAATGACCAGAATCCCAGATTCAAACTCATTTTTATCCCATTAACTAGGCATTTATGATTTGGCCAAGGCTGGTGTCAAATTGCAGTGGCAGAGGAAGCTGGTGCAGGAGAAGGCCTCAGCAATGATTTAGCACAAATGAAGAAACAGCACAGAGATGTTATGTGGTTTTCCAAAGGTCACACAGCAAGCTAGATCCACAATTGGCAGGTGGGCCCCCGAAGCCCACTCTGTGTGCACTGGCTTCTGTTTTTTTCTCCTGGAAGCAATGAATAAAGCAACTATACATAAAATCTCAATCAGCTATGCTTAAGCCCAGCTTTGCCTAATGCTCCTGCCTGATACAACCTTAGCGACAAATTATTTGCTAAGTGCACACTTAGGTAACTAAATGGGAATAGTTGCTGTATGAGGTGTTTATTTATAACAGAAAAGCTCTTTGGTTTACAGTAATTAATCTTTAAACTTTCTTTAGGGCCTCGACTTGCCGGGAGAAAAAGTTGTGTACTGAGGCCCTTCCAAGTTTGAAATAATAATGAATTATGCCATCTGTATATTAGAAAGGGATGCATCTCTTTCTTTTTTTTAAATTAGGGAGTGATGGTGGCAGGCAACATGTACCGAACGCATGTTAAGTGGCAAATTAGCATTCGAGCCGACTGTAGGTCTCAGCTTCTAAGCCTCCTGCCTGTCTCTTTTTGCAGGAGGCTGGAGGCAGGGGGCAGCGCTTTGTATCCTCACCTTCTTCTGGGTCCAGGCTGGGCTCTGGGCAGGCCCCAGTTTCCCTAGGAGAGGATCTCCCTCTTTGCATCTCAGAAAGGCAGCTTCAGCGTCAGAGAAAGTGAATTCATCTACATGTTCATATATACTCACTCGTAAGTGAATACATTTATCACGGCAAAAATCTGAGCACCTTGACTATTAGGGCGTTGAATTATTTTATTTGCAAATGAATTTACCTGGAATTGTTTTAGAGTTTAGTCACCCACTTGTCTTCATCAAAAAAGATGACAAAACATAATTTCACAAAATTAGGACAGAGCCTGAAAGTCTGGGCCAAATAGACCCAATCTAAACCCAATCCCCATACTCCTACACATACCAGAATGCTAAGCGAATAGATATGGTAAATCTGATTGAAGAGGGAAATGCTTAACCAACTGAATGCCACAAAAACTTCTTTTTTTTTTTTTTGGAAGCAACCAAGGTGTCTTTTAATAGGTGGAAGAATAAACAAATTGTGGTCCATCCATATAATGGACTATTACTCAGAGATAACAAGAATGAGGTATCAAGCCAAACAAACAAAAAAGGACAGAAAAACTCTAAATGCATATGGTTAAGTAAAATACTTCATTTTGAAAAGGCTACATACTGGATGAGTACAACTCTACTACTTTCCAGGGAAAGGAAACTTACAGACCAGGGAAAGGAAACTTACAGACGATGGAAAGATCGGTGTTTGCTGGTGCCAGGAAATATTGGGGGGGGGTGTGAACAGATGTGGAAAAGGATATTGAAGCCAGTGAAACTGTTTTGTGTGATACTGTATAGTGGACACACGCTATCACTCATTTCTCAAAGCTCATAGAACCGCACAAGCTGAGAGAGAATAACTAATGCAGACTAAGGACTTCAGTTAATAACAACGTATCAACATCGCTCCATCAACTATAACCAATGTACCACATTAGCGCAAGGTGTTAATAATGCAGAAACGGGGGTGAGCGGTGAAGGAAGGAGTGGGTTACATGCGAACTCTGTACTTCCTGCTCAGTGACTTTGTAAACCTGAAACTGCTCTTAAAATACCTTATTGCTTTTTTTTAATTGACAGGAACAAAGTCAACAATACAGACTATCTTTTAAATCCAGGTGAAGGAATCTGGGCGTCCCCTCTTACAGATCAGAGTCCCATTAGGATACTAAACGTTGGGAAGATCTGAAGGAAGAAGCATGTTTATTAAGTCCCACATTTCCTGACTCTTTTGATGATTGAACCCCAATTTCTACACATAGTATCTAGAAACAAGCCATGCTACACGTTTTAGGAAAGGGTGGACTAGAATTTTTGGGGGGGCAGCGGGGGCAAGGAATAGTGACTTTATTCGGAAAGCCAGATGACCAAGAAGATGGGGGCTAACGGTCCCGAGAACCATCTTCCCCAAGTCAGAATTCAGGTTCCTTTTATAGTGAAAAGGGACAGGGGGTGGCTGGTTGTGCAAACTTCTTGGTGTCAGAATCCTTTGCTTTTGCAGCTGTCCATGTGGGTCAGGTCTTGGTGTCCCTGTAAACCTCCCACAAAACAAAACATTATTTTCTATTCTGCAACTTGTCATCTTTATATGAGTGCAAAAGTGTTACACTCTTAAAGGTCAGAGCCTTGAGGATGAGCTCTCCTGTGTATTTCAGGCTAAAGGCAACATTCTTTTACAAAAGGTGCAGAGCTGGCAAGACTAAGCCCAGGAAACAGGGCACGGGGGACAGCCAAAGGAACAGGTCGCACATGGAGCCAGATTCGTTCTTTTCTGTCACAGAGGGATGCGGTGGACGCGGTGAGAGACGCCTGGCGATTGGCCGGAGGCATGGCCTGCTGAGAGCTGCCTGGCGATTGGCCAGAGGGGCCATGGGGGTCACAGGGAGGCATTGTGATGCACCACTGGCGGTTATAAAAGCGGGCGCCGCTGCGAGGTCAGCCATAGCAGAGCTGGCCTTTCTGGTGCTCTTGCTCGTTGTTGCCGCCTTCTCCACCGCCTTCTCCACCGCCTTCTCCTTGCCCACCTCTGACGCGCTCTGTGCCCATTCTTCTTGCCCTGGGCCCCTCAGCCACACTGTACACTCCACTTTCGTGCTGGCGTCCACCTTCGCTCCCCTCTGCAGGCCAGCGAGTCCGCGCACCCACACCCAGGGCCTCCTGCACCTGCGGGGGCTGGCCTGGCTCCTCTCCCTCTGGTTCCAGCCCCACAGCGGGGTATCCGGCTCCGAGAACAGGAGCACAGCCGACCCCTGCCCATCCTGGGAGCGCCCCTCCCAGGCCTCTGGCATCCCAACCCAGCTTCTCACCAGCCAACTAAGCGCCCCCGACACCGAGGTAAACAGGGCAGCCGCTGACCCCGATGCCACAGTCTCCAGGACCCCCTCCAAGTCCGCAGTGGGTATCCGGCCCCAGGCTTTCTCTGGCTGTTCCCCGACTCGTCTTCTGCCTGTGGCCGTCAGCACCTCTGCCAGCCCCAGGTCAGCTGCTGCTACCTGGTGGAAGAGGAATACCTCATTCCTATCCTCACGTGTGCTGCCCCCACGCTGCCCTCCAGGCATCTGAGCCCAGAGGCTGCAGAGGGTGAGGACAGGGGCCCCAGAAACCTCAGATCGCCTCCTGGCAGCCGTGGCCCTGGCTGCCTCTCTGACTCCCAGCCCCAACTGCCATGAAGGGAAGAACCAGCACTAGCAGCCCGGCCCGCCCTGCAGCAGTTCAGTTACTCGGCCAGACAGATGGGAGGCTGGGGAATGGGGCAGCAAGAGTGGCCTGGACTCAGAGACGTGGGGCGTCCTGACACAGACGTGAGAGACCCCAGGCCACCAGCCCAGGCCAGACTGTCCACCGTTGCTGCAGCGTTGGGGCGGTGGCGGCGGCTGTCCGAGCAGGCGATGGCGGCCTTTGTCAAGGGCGGGCCCTCAAATGTCAGCACTTCAGGGCTTGGAACCCTTCAGAGCGTGGTCCTCCTGATGGGCCACGGGGCCGAGGTGCTGGCGGGCCCCTGGCCTGGGACCACGTTCAACCTGATGTCCTGGTTGCACACCGCCCGGGGAGTCCATTTTCTCTGGAGAGCTCCCTTGTCAAGGGGAAAGGGATGCCGCGAATGAGAGAAGCTGAGAGAGCTGTCCGGGGAGGTGAGCCGCATGGGTACGTCTTTGGCTCAGCCTGACAGAAAGCTGAAGGTCGTGAAGACAGCGGTGAACCCCGGCAGGGAATGTGAGAAAAATCTCCACAAGACAATGTCCGAACAAAAGGAAAAGTACAGCAGGTCTGAAGAAGGAAACCGACTGTGGAGAAATCCACTTGTTCCCTTCTCAGAGGAGGGACACCCTTCAGAGAACCTGCCAGCAGAGCAGGCGCCCTGGGACATGGCCGGGGAAGGGGCGTGGGCACATCTCCGGGGAGCCCCGGGCCTGAGCACAGAGGCGGCCTTGGCTGAGCTCCAGGGGCTGCAGGAGAGGTTCTGTCAGTGGGAGGGGAAGGGGGAGGCCTTGCAGGAGCAGGGGGAGGGGTGGTGTCAGCAGGAGGCCGAGGTCCCAGAGCTAGAGGGTGTCTTTCTTAGAGTGCAGGGACTCCAGTGTGTTTCCTCCGAGTGAAGCTTCTTTGGAAACTTTCGTGCCGGGAACTCTTTCCTAGGCAGCAGGGGGTGCCCTCGGCGAGGGGAGGAGAGGGGCATGGAAGGGGAGCTTCGCGTGTATTTGAATTCTCAATAAATAGTGTGTTGGAATGCTAAACAAGTGTCCACGAGTGACGGTGGCCCCGGGGACCACAGCACGCGGAGTCCTCACGCCCTTCAGCGAGCTGGTGTCCACCGCGCAGGTGCCTCCACAGCTCTGAACCATGGAGAGCCGGCACGGTGACACCCTGCCAGACCTGCCAGCGCCCAAAGCCGGCACCCAAAGCCAGCACCGAGCGGGGCGCCTCCTTCAGATGGAAAGAAACCAGGCAGAGGGTCTACTCCTGGTGTTTCTCCAAAGACCGCTTCTGGCCCGAGACAGCCAATTTATGGCAAAACTTGGGTTTGCCCCTGACGTTCTGGCTCTGACCTCCAGCCATGGCGGCAGTGCTCCTCCACCCCAGGGTCCTGCGTGATGCAGGCCTTTTATGAGCCATCGCAGGGGAGGGAACAGAGGCGCGAGCTGCGCTCTCTGCTGCTGGGTGGGGACACAGGGAGAGGGGGCGTGGGCAGTGGGCCACGCACTCAGAGCCACAGAAGCCCTGCGGGACTGCGGGTGGATTTGCTCTGGCTGCTCTAGGTTGGAGGAGCGGGGCTGGGTGGACCGAGCAAAGCAGAGCAGGATTCAGGTGGGAACTGGGAGACCGGAGGGCGTTGGCGATGTGGAGGGAAGTGGCCGCTTCTAAGAGGCAGAGCTGAGAATCAGTGATGGGTAGGATGCTGGGGAGCTGCGGGGCGGCAGCTCAGCTTGGGTGGGGTGGGATCCATCTCCCAGGAGCCACCCCAGCAGAGTCCCATCCCACGTCCTCCACCAGCTGTGAGACCAGTGAGTAACCGAGTCGGTGTCCTCTGATCCAGAGAGGGCAATACAGCCCACCTGGCCGGGCACTGTATGCAGCAGGGCCTGAGGGGTACTCACCAGGCACCACCCCAAAGGACGGCCAGTGTTGGACCGGCCAGGGAGCCACATGCTGGGGCCAAGGCTCCCCTCCAGCCATCACAGGACACGTGTGGCTGTGCTCATGAGCTGCAGTGACTTCTCCTGCGTCCTTCAGGGCAGATTCTGTGAAGCCACCAGGGGCCCAAGGTAAGACTCCCTGATGCTCTAGGGTTTCTCAATGACAAACGGCCCAGTGTGGAGGGACAGCGGGCTAGAGACCTCATGCTCCAGATCCTCACAGAACCACCAAAGTGCCACCCAAACTGGCAGCAGCATGTCTGTCTCCGTTTCTGTTCCTGCAGTGAAGGCCCGGCTGCACCTGGACTGGACTTTCCTTCAATGCAGCACCTCCTGTCCGGTCCAGAGGAGACTGGCTCCCGTCAGCGTGGACATAGCCTGCTGTGGTCCCGAAGACCCGGCAGGTCCAGAGAAGACGCGGTTCCAGTCAGTTGTGATGCAGGAAAAACGGATGTGGGGCGTAAGGAGGGCTGTGTCTCAGGCTTCGGTGGAGCCCCTGGGACGTGCCCCATTAAGTGTGGGTCCTTGGCTTTGCCCAGGAAAGAATTCAAAAGTGAGCCACAGTTGAGTAAAGGTAGATTTAGAGAGAGACATCGAAAGGCAAGAGAAAGGCCACAAGGTGTAGGGGTTGGGGGCTCAGATTAGAGTAAAAGGTACACACTCCATTGATAGAGTGTGGGCTGTCTCCGAAGGGCGCGGGGAGAGGGGGAGAGAAAGAGGCGGCAGCCCCACAAAAACATTTTTAAGGACCCCAGAATATCTGATGTTTGTATATAAATCATACTGCTAATTGCAGATGGGTCTTAGCTATTAAAGCGGGTCTTTAAGAAGAACCATCAGGTTGAATTGCTATATATGTTAGGAAACTGTAAAGCAGTATTTCTTTTTTTTTAATTAAAAATATTGAAGTATAGTTGATTTACAGTGCTGTGTTAGTTTCTGGTGTACATCATAGTGATCCAGTTATAGAATGTATTCTTTTTCATTATAGGTTATTACAAGATACTGAATGCAATTCCCTGTTCTGTACAGTGAGACCCTGTTGTTTATCTGTCTTATGTGAAGCAGTATTTCTGGAAGGATGTTCCGTATCTTAGACGTTTTATATTCAAAGCTGGCACCATGATGGTCTGCATTATTGAGGGCTTCAGCAAGCATTTTTCAGTGGGGTTATGGGACATGTCTTTTAAACTGAGATGTTCTTGGGTTTGATTATCAGCTCTGCCACTTTTTAGCTGTGAGTCCTTGGGCAGGATAGCTCTCCTCTGTGGACTTGGCTATCTCATCTGTAAAATGGGCTTGGGAACGCTGCTCTCTTGGTGTTATTGGTAACATCCACACAATATCAAGCACGGAGCCAAGTGATCAGTAATGAAATCCACCATCATGGCCATTCTCCCCTGATCCTCCCCCTCTACCCCTCAAATGCGTCAGCCGTTTGGGAAAACTTTGATCAAAAGCCACTTCAGAAGACCTTGAGAGGACGCCAAGGGCATGAAGAGGAAGCAGAACAGAGTAAGGAGCATGTTTGACACCAAACCAAGAAGGATCTCTATCACCTTGACCTACTCGTAGGGAGGGTGCCTTCAGGTATGTAGAGTTCTGGGAAAATGACATTTTCCAAGCAGTCTAAAGGGTTCCCCATCACCTGGAAGGGAACACCAACATGGAAAGAACTTTCCTTGAATCATCACCGAGAGCCAATTGCTAAGTGTCTCAACGGTATCCGAGACTTTATATTCTGTATTTCATTTGCCCAAGAGACTCTAGGAGGGAGCCATTACAATCCCTGCCATTTTGGAGATGGGGAAACTGAAAGTTTTAGTAACTTCCCGAAAGTTCCAGAGCAACAAGAGGCAGAGAAGATTGGAGATTCAAATTCAGGGCGACTCCGCCTGACTCTGCCATCGTGTGCTGTTGGTAGTGGTCAGAACA